CCCCAAAACCCCAAAACCCCAAAACCCCATTATTTTATCATAAATTGACAAAAGATATCCCAAAATGTGGGGCAAATATATTTTCATCAGTCAGAAAAAGTATGAGATACAGATCCTAGGGCCAGTGGCATTAGGAATGTACATCATTCTCTTTGCTATTGCATGTATGAGTGTTGGAACCATCTACTCGGCATATTGGTATGAGGATATAATGATAGTAATCTTTGAAGAGGTATTTGCAGTATTCCTCAGTTATATACTGTTCAAGTCATATTTTGATCTGATCTATACCAATCCTGGAATCATTCCTAAAGGGAACACCTCTGTTGATAAGAACTTAGACTACTGGATGAGAATTTATTATTTTAAGACAAAGAAAGAAACCCCTTTCAAGACAAAGCTTAAATATTGAAGAACTTGTAAGATCATTAGACCTCCTAGAAGTTTTCATTGCAACAGGTGAGGAGTGTGTATTGAAAGACATGATCATCATTGAGTTTTTACTGGAGGTTGAATTGGCGTAAGGAATCATAAAAAGTTTGTCGTTTTCTTATTCACAACAGCATTTGTTTCTTTCTCTGCATTATGGATAAATGCTCCAATCGCTTATACTTCATACCCTACTGCTTTTGATGAGACTGCAGAGACATTAGATATATTCATGGTCAGCTTTTTCTGCTGTTTCATTCAATTCCAAACAGCATTTGCAATGTTCCTATTTGGACTGCTTCACATCTATTTCGCCTCCCAAAATATCACAAGTAATGAAGGATTCCGAAGAGTGTATAAGAACTCTGAAAATCCATTCAAAATGTCCTTACTTCAAAATTTAAGCTACTTCTGGAATGATTTTCACAGGTTTCCTTGCCACATCACAATGATCCAGAACCCAAAATACAAACAGTAAAATTCCCATAACAAAGCCATAGATATCACTCCAAGCTACTAGCTAATTATGGTAGACTGTACACAGAGGAATCTAAAGAAGAGAATGGTGAGAAGTTGAAGGATAATGATGAGAAGTTGCAAGTGACTTGTTTAGGCAAGAAGGATGATTAGTCAAAGTCAAATTTTTGTGTGGTTGAGGGGTTTTGGGGTTTTGGGGTTTTGGGGTTTTGGGG